CAAACAAGAAATACTTTCTGTTTCAAAGGGAGGATTTGTCGGTTCAGTAGCAGACCATTACCAATCTAGCTTACCTTCTTGGCTGCAGATGGCTGAAATCGGCACTAACAAGGGACTGGATGCGAAGGTGTGTGTCGTTTTTATCTTCCAAATATGATACGCTTCCTTACTTGAACTGGAGTTGACTGTAATGTGGTTCGAGTATTTAAATGGAATAGATTGTGGCTGTACACCTCTGAATGGCTACAAGGCACATCATATTTAGTTAACCTTACTCTCGTCTGGCCTTATTGGAAATAGAATTTATGCATCGACAAAACGTCTATAATTTCAACAGGTATCATCTGATCTCAGGGGGCCTAATGATTGTAAGCCCAACTTCCTTGTTAGGAACCACAAACTTAACTAATTCTATGCTTTTGGTGCAAGTTTATGGTATACTGCATACGGTACTTTGTGTTTTGGACAAGAACTGGTTAAATGGAGGGGATATTGTCATAGCACATTTGATTTAACACACTGCATTAAATTATGATGAATTTTTTCCATGTCCATGTAAACACCAGTTTGTACCTTTTCAGTGCAGACCAGAGATGATGGAACGGTATTGAGTGCCAAAGTTGCAGGTCTGCAAAGGAAATGGGACGATATATGCCAGCGTCTTCATCACACCCAGCCAACTGGGTTAAACACTCATCTCCCTCAGTTTCCAACTGTTGCGGGCTTTCAGCTGGTTGAAGACAAAAAGGAAAATGCTGAAAATCCTAGAAGCACAAGTACGAGTGCACTGCCAAATGGAAGCAGATGTGTGAATGTAAGTTCATGCATTCCCTCTGACACACAAAAGACGCCGAGAAAGCAATTAGTTTTTCCTCTTCCTGTTGTTTATGAGGCTAAGAGTGACTGTATTCTATCCAAGCAACAGGAAAAACCTTCAAAAGAAGAAGATCTTGAGTCTGGTGGCCTCAGTTCTCCACATAATTTCTCCAATTCGAGCATGGTTGATGGTAGTCAAGCATCTCCAACATCCATGACTTCTGTGACCACAGATTTGGGCTTGAGAATAAGTTCCGTCCCTACTAGTAATGAACTGAAGAAAACCGTAAATCAAAACCACATGGAGTTTCCACAGGACCGATCAGGTTCCTTTTCAGCAAATGTTGATGTTGTGCATGGGAGTATGTCTGACCATTGGGCTCCATCATCATCATCATCTTCTTCTCCTGACTACGGTAGGCAGTTTGATCTCAGCAATGCCAAGATGCTCTTTAGAGCTGTCGTTGAAAGAGTTGGCTGGCAAGATGAAGCTATACGCGTTATTAGCCAAACAATAGCTCGCTGCAAGGCAAGAAATGAGAAACGACAGGGGGCAAGTCTCAGAGGGGATATATGGTTCAGTTTCTGTGGACCTGATAGGCGCGGGAAAAAGAAAATTGCTTCTGCCCTTGCAGAAATCATATATGGAAGTAGGGAGAACTTTATTTCTGCAGATTTAAGTGCTCAAGATGGGATGATCCATACCCACATGGTCTTTGACCACCCAGAGGTGAATGGCTACACTGTAAAGTTAAGGGGGAAGACTGTGGTTGATTTTGTTGCCGGGGAGCTGTGCAAGAAACCCTTGTCTATTGTGTTTCTTGAAAATATAGACAAGGCTGATGTGCAGGCTCAAAAGAGCTTGTCACATGCTATTCAGACTGGTAAATTCGCAGATTCTCATGGGAGAGAAATTGGAATCAGCAATGCAATATTCGTGACAACTTCAACATTGACGGAGGATAAAGCTTGCTCTTCTAGTAATGAGTTCTCCACCTATTCCGAGGAGAGAATATCAAGAGTCAAGGACTGGCCAGTGAAGATATTAATTGAACAAGCTCTTGGTGACGAAGTAGGCAAAATGGTTGCTCCATTCACACTGAGAAAAGGCGTCTCTGGTTCTATCTTTTTGAATAAAAGAAAGCTGGTTGGGGCAAATCAAAATCTAGACAGACAAGAAATCAAAGAGATGGTGAAACGAGCTCACAAGACGTCAGCTAGGAATCTAGATCTGAACCTTCCTGCAGAAGAGAATGATGTGCTAGACACTGACGATGGAAGCCCTGATAATGATCATGCACCTGACAACTCCAAGGCTTGGTTGCAAGATTTTCTTGAAAAAATTGACGCAAGAGTGTTTTTCAAGCCTTTTGATTTTGATGCTCTTGCTGAAAGAATATTGAATGAAGTTAATGGGTGCTTCCACAAGATTGTAGGTTCGGAATGCTTGCTAGATATTGATCCAAAAGTCACGGAGCAGTTACTCGCAGCTGCCTATTTATCTGATCGGAAGAGAGTGGTTGAGGACTGGGTGGAGCAAGTTCTTGGTTGGGGATTTGTTGAGGTTTCGAGAAGGTACAAACTGAAAGCAAATTCCATTGTGAAACTTGTTGCCTGCAAGGGCTTGTTTGTAGAAGAGCGCATGTCAGGAGATCACCTTCCAACAAAAATTATAATCAACTGATGCCTTAAAAAAGGGCAATTCCTGTGTTTTTTAATGTGTAATTTAGCATTTAGGATCAAGTAGCTCTTGTTTATCCTCTTGATCCCATCAATTCTAGCGGGTTTTGCAGGATAGTTACGTGTAGTTGCGTACTAATTATAATCTGCATGTAGTGCTTTGGTGATGTGTCACCTGCTTGTTAAATACATAGTTATATGTCTTCATTGCTTTGATTCCTGCAGCTGATGTACAATTTTGTTGATTTCCGACTAGGTTTGTGGTCTCTTAGCAGATCTAACCTACATAGGAACTTTTTGTTCAAGATTCTTGAATGCAACTTCAATTGTGTAAATGTGTTGGCTTGCTGTTTCAAGACAGAAAGGACAGAATATTGGGATAAAAATCCGTTTAATAGCAGAGAGAGAGGGAGAGGGAGGGAGGGACGAGAACAAAAACTAAATTTCATCTGTCTTCGAGTCAGAAATTGAACCAATTTAGGTTTCTCCAAGAAAGAGTATAAGAGGGACATGTTCTAGAGATATAAATAATATTTTAAAAAAAAATGTTTGAGCTTAAAATTTCTATTTCTATCTCCAACTTAAATCTAAACCATTAATTTTAAAAAACTTAATTTCCACCATTTAATTTGAAAAAACTCGAATTTAAAAGCAAAAAACCATAAAAATAAGATAAATATAATTTTTTCGTTGTCGCGAGAGGAGATGAGCGCCGAACACGCATTGTCTACGCTCATCTTTCTTGCCCAAGGGCCGCCCAATCCCGGCACACCTAGGAGTGGTTCCAAGCCCGGATCTGCTTCTCTTTCCTATATCCATTCCAATTTCTTTACCATGCATATATTTTTAACATTTCCCTTATATTTTTTTATAATAAGACTTCATTTATCTGCCAGTCAAGAAAATTTAATAAAATTAACCAACTAAGGTAGATTATGAATTTTTCCTGATATATATCAATAAAAAAATGAATTAACCAAATTAAATTACAATTTATTAGATAAAATATTTTTTTTATAAAGTTACATTAAAAAATAATAAATAAATTATGAAACCAAGAAGTTTTTCAAGATTTAAATAAAAAATTAAGTAATTATAGAATTAACAATTTATTTTTAGTGTTATGTGAATTGAAACGAATATTATTATTAACAAATTATTAAATAATTAGCATGCATAATTAGTAAATGAAAAAAAATCTATTGTTTAAAAAAAAAGATTTTCTACATTCTGTATTATGTTATACACTATCAGTCAAATATGATACTACAGGAACACAATCTGTTTGGATATCATCGGAAAATACAATTGTGTTATGGGGCAGGACGAAACTCTGTTGTAAATAAGAGAGGTGGAATTAACTCCATCTTTGCCATGAAATCTGCCCTTTTATTTCCTTCTCGCAAATTGCATCGCAGAGCTATGACAATCTCAGCCGAGAAGCTACTTGATCGTAACAATGACAGGGAAATGAGGATGGACATTAGAACTCAGCTCCTGAATGCCCTTCAAGGAATCCCGTAAATCTATTCCTGCCACCACTGTTTTATATTTGATGATGTTTCAAAAATCGTAGCATAGAAACAAGGTTTTTGGTTTGGATAATCAATTAAATAATTAATTTTAGTAATTTTATTTATTTTTTCTAGTGAATAGGATTGATAGCTTGTTTTTAATGTTTAATAAATTAAGATGGATTGTGGTTATATTATTTATAAGAGATATTTTTTTGATAAAATTAAATACTTGCTAATACTTAAATAAATATCTTTTAAAATAACAAAATATAACAATATTTTAGAAAGAAATTATATATATATATATATATATATATATAAAGATTATGAATCTTTGTTATGAAAATTTTATAATATATTTATAGTTAATAAATCTTGTTTTTTTATGTAAATGAGAGGCTAAAGTATAATTTTATATTTGTAATATTTTGAATTGTATTATAAATTGTATTCCATTTATTTTATCTAGTTGGTCATTTGGTGAAGGATAAACTTTGATTAATTAAGCATATTTTTTTAGAAATAATTCTTTTATAATTTTATATAAAAATATATAAAACTGATGAGGTTAAACTCAATCATCTTTTAATATCCAATCCACCATGACTGATGCTTGACACACTATTTAATCCAATCATAGTTAAATTTGACATTGCTCGGGTCGTGGCACACTACTAAACTAATTATAGTTAGGTATGACTTTAATTAGAGTGAACGCATTAGACCTAAACGTAATGTGCTGACGTATACCAGCTCAAATACTCACAAGGAGACCTGTTAACCGATCCAATAAGAAAGGAACAACAAATTAAACCCATGGGATTGAAAGTCCGGAGTCCAAGTTCTAATACTACGGCCCAATATAACAAAATCTCCAGCAGTCCATTTTCACCAAAACCAGCCCAAAGCCCAGTCTTGTTAGTGAGAAAGGAAATCCTGGCCTGCCAAAACTCACACAAACCCAAAAGACATACAAACGTCCTCTTTCTCATTCTTCTCTGTCTTCAGTCTTAGCCTCGGTCTCGATGCAAAACACAACGACAGCAACAACCTTTACCATCAGTGGTGTCCTGTGCACACACTAACCTACCAAATTACCCTATCCATCAACAATAATCAAATTAACATCATCAATTAACTTATGTATGGCTTCCATACTCACAAGCCCTCGCACTGTAGAAGAGATCTTCAAAGATTACAGCGCTCGTCGCTCTGCCCTCGTTCGTGCTCTCACTATCGGTATCCCGATTTCAAATCCCTAAATTTCTTAATTCATTCAATTAATCTTCTTCGCATGCATGTGTATAATGTGGGTTTCTTTTTACTTGTGTTTATGTTGTTGCTGTTGTTGTCTTTATCAGAAGCCGATGAAGTTTACATTCAATGCGATCCAGGTTTGTTTCTTGCCTTCTTTTTTAAGCTCAACGTTGACCTAACAAACAAAACAAAACAAATTCAATAATTTTTTAGTTTCCTTTCCTTTTAGGATTCTACTGTTGTTGTTATTAATCTTTTCATTATTTGTGATTTTTTTCTTGGATTTTTCATTAATGTTTGTTTTAACCAACGGAAATTGACCTTGTACAATGGATTTTAGAAAAAGAAAATCTGTGCTTGTATGGACATCCAACTGAGTCCTGGGAGGTGACTCTGCCAGCTGAGGAAGTTCCCCCGGAGCTCCCTGAGCCTGCTTTGGGCATTAATTTTGCCAGGGACGGTATGAGTCGTAAAGATTGGCTTTCTCTTGTGGCTGTCCATAGTGACTGTTGGTTGCTTTCCATGGCATTCTACTTTGGTGCACGACTTAATCGCAATGACAGGTATGTTGTTCATTCTAATTTTGTTTGTTGATTCCTGCCTACATTTGTTCACAAATAGGTGGTGGAATCTTAGGTTCTTAATGCTCCGCATTTCAGAGGTTCCATTTGTACTTGCACTGATTTTCATGTGATGCCAATTGCTTTATTGGTTTACTTAACTTGGTATTCTGATTCATGAATTCTGTTTTGTATAATTTATGTGAAAAAGCCAACTATTCATTGTGGCCAAGATTTTTTTGGGCAAGGGTATAAAAGAAACAAAATTCTGGGAAGCTAATATGTTTTAAGACGTGAAATCGTGTGAAGAAATATTGTGCTACACTCCATGACCACTTAAATGGTGCTTGTGAGAGTTTTAAGAAAACTCAGTCAAAGGAAATGTTCTGTTACCCAACATGATTGGTGCTTTTGAGAGGATGGCAAGAAATTTTCATTTGCTGATAGTAATATTTCTAAATAAATAAAATGCGCAATCATTCTGGACTTCACAGACATCTCAGCTAGCTCAGTAGCGTTGCTGTGTAATGTTGCTTTTTATCAGAATTCAACAACTTTTCACAGTTAGGTGAAATGTCAACATTTTGAACCTGTTAATGCATTTTGAGCACATAGAGTAGTTTGAATGATAGCTTTCTTAAGTTCATGAACATTGTTATCATATTTAAAATAGAAAATTGCAGTTTTAGATATAGCAGGAAAAAGTAATATTCATGTTGTTAGCTAAATTCACCTTATCTAAAAGGCATGCTTCCCGTGTTTATGTTGTTAAGAGGAATGAAATAGATGAAAAGGGGACTTGATGTATAAAGTTAACGCTGTTAAGAGGAATGTAATAGATGAAAAGGGGACTTGATAGTATAAAGTTAGCTGCTGTTAAGAGGAATGTAATAGATGAAAAGGGGACTTGATAGGATAAAGTTAACATGTTTGTAAATGTAAAGAGACAAATATTTCTCATTTCACTTGTTTTCCCTCATTAATCTTCAACAAACAAGATTGCTATTGAATTGGTCTATGCGGTTTTTCTTTTGTGTGTGAGCTTGTTCACGTACCCCAAGACTTGTTTGCTCATTTGCTGCAACATCACATTGAGTTATCTTCTCAAGTGGTCTGCATTTTTTCTTTTTGAATAGGCATATGGTTGAGGATTTTTCTATGTTGATGTAGAAGAAAAAAGACATTTGGCTAGTTAGGGTAACAATACATTGTGCTTGTTGAAATAAAACTGGCCCCTACAGCGACGTAAGATTGCTATTGAATTGGTCTATGCGGTTTTTCTTTTGTGTGTGAGCTTGTTCACGTACCCCAAGACTTGTTTGCTCATTTGCTGCAACATCACATTGAGTTATCTTCTCAAGTGGTCTGCATTTTTTCTTTTTGAATAGGCATATGGTTGAGGATTTTTCTATGTTGATGTAGAAGAAAAAAGACATTTGGTTAGTTAGGGTAACAATACATTGTGCTTGTTGAAATAAAACTGGCCCCTACAGCGACGTAAAAAAAAACTAACTAAATGAAGCAAAATTATATTTGAATTATTTGAATCTTGAGAATCAACTCCTTTGACTAAAGACAGTCCTGTTGTTCAACTACTTAATTTGTTGTCTTGTCTTAACTGAAGGTGTGTCGCATTGTGAAACCTCCTGTAGTTATATGTGTTGTGGTAGAATAGTTGCTTCATGGAATATTGATGTGAAGTGAATTTGAGGAAGGATGTAGGTCCAGTATCAACTTTCCCAGTATATTCATCCCTTACATTATGATACTTGATCTTCGGTAGATATTGCTTTCTCTCACCACTCTGTTTGTTGTTTTAGTTGCATTGGTCAATGAAGAATGGTTGAATGGTGATGTGGCACACCATGCCACTAACATGTAGTTTTGAGAAAAGCATCTTCTACGAAATTTGTTTTGCTTTGTGCACAAGTTATAAAAGTGACGATGCCTTGCACCCTATGGAAGACTGGTGAAGTATTGTCCATCATCAGTCACACCTCCGTACTTCGTGACACCATGTATAACATAGATAGAAACCAAGTTCTCAACAAGTAAACCTCCAAGGTTATAGCCCTATACTGTAGAGAAATTAATAGAGAAAAACTGTAATATATTCTGAAATGTTTTTAATTCAGTCATCTAATAAAAAAAAAAAATATCACACAATGTTTTTAATTCAGTCATCTAATAAAATAATAAAAAAAATATCACGCCAATTGTTTATATAGAGGTAAAAACTGGTCTAACCAAAATAATCTAAAGCTAAGTTGGAAAAACAATAAGAATCTGGGATTAACTAGGAAAATAATTAAAACAACGAAAACAATAATTTCATCGCCTAATTTGAGGGCCATCCCGACCTTGGCTAGCTGACCCCTATAGAACTGTGCTCTTGAATCTTGTGATCAAATTTGAGCTTGATCCAATGATCATATTTAAAGTTATGGTTGTTTTTGTCAGATTATGTGTTTGATGTGTTCTTCGTAGACTTTGCCTTATTTATCTGGTCTATAAACTCATCCGCAACATGTTCCACATCATTCAGTAAGGAATTAATCTTAATTGCTTGAGAGGGAATTTTGACCTTTTGGGTTTGCAGCTTCTTGTTTTCATATTTTGGTATCAAAGTTAGCTGTTTTGCCATTATGGAGAAGCACTCTAGCAGTGCCTGTAAGCACTTAGGTGTAATTTTTCCTTCTTTTTATCCTTGATTTTTTTTTTTTAGTGCCTGTAAGCACTTAGGTGTAATTTTTTTTTTAAATGAAACACCTGAGAGAATGGGCTGGGCTTCTAATGTCTTCAACATCATTGCTTGTTATTTTGTTAATTAAGTGTATCTTCTTTTCAATATTTGTGCTTGGGAATGGTCAGAAGTTTGTTGGATTGTGCCTGACTCTACTATGGCTCAAATGAATTAGAATGCTAATCTGGTCTTTGGGACCTGCCTGGGATTTAGATATGAATATGATCGCAGGCATGCATGGGACAAAGTGAACAACAGATTTAAACCAGGTTGCACCTGTCTTATCTTTTCCATGTTCAAGTTTACCTCTTTGTTAGAATGGCGATATCTTGGGTTCTTGACCTGCGAGGATGTAAATACCATCATAGAAATATTTGCAATAAAGTTAACTTAAAACTGGACAACTTGGATCTCCTTGGGAGTGCACATGTATCCGCAATGCAATTGTTTTATGATCCCCCAGACCTTGATGATAACCCAGATCTTGCTTTCTGCTGGCTGCAATTTCCATCTGCTTCTAGAATAGCATATGGCTAGTAGTTTTGAAGAATCTTATTAGCTGGATACTGTATTGATTGATAATCTTGCATTCCTGTTCTCTTCATGCACCTGTCTCAATTTGTTTTGCACAAGGTGTCCAACACTAAATACTTTATGTTTCTGATATGATTTCCTTTTCCTTGTTGTGTGCTGATGTATTGAACCTTTGATTTCAATATTGACATTTCACAGTAGCATAATTTAGTGGTTATGTGCCTCCCCCTCCCCTCTCAGGAAGCGATTGTTTAGCATGATAAATGATCTGCCCACCCTCTTTGAAATTGTAACTGGGAGGAAACCTGTAGAAGACAAACCCAGTGCGGAAAGTGGCAGCAAATCCAGGAATAACACAAAGGTGAACATGTTTTTGTCTCTAATTATCAATTTTAAACTCATAAATGCATTTGTTTTGTTTGACTAGTTTTGGATCTTTAACCAACCTATTATATTGCAGAGATCAATAGATGGACAGGCGAGAAGTAATTTCAAGTTAAGTTATGTGGAGGATGAAGACGAGCATGGAGACACCATTTGTGGGAGCTGTGCAGGGAACTACAATGCCGATGAGTTTTGGATTGGTTGTGACATCTGTGAACGATGGTACCATGGAAAATGTGTGAAGATAACACCAGCAAAAGCAGAAAGTATCAAGCAGTACAAATGCCCTTCTTGCAGCACAAAGAAGTCTAGGCACTAACAGACAGCAAAGCTTTCGAGGGATCTACCTCATTATTGCTCACTGATGTTGTTCCAAAGCACGATAGTTTTTTCTTTTATTGCTTAAAAAAAAGGTGTTAAGGTTCCATCTGGGGATCACAGTGCTTATCTAAGTGGATGTTGTTTTAACTAAAAAGGTGTTAAGGTTCCATCTGGGGATTACAGTGCTTATCTAAGTGAATGTTGTTTTAACTATGGGGTCTTCACACCGAGAAATTCTTGTCTTAGATTTTGGTTAACGATAGTTTATGGAGTATGTGATTAAATATTAATGGTGCCAATATCGAATTGCAGGAGGCTATCTCCGAAGAATTTCCCTAGGACAGCCACGGTTCGATACAGTTGTAGATCCTAGCTATGCTGTGAGTCACGTCTGCAAGGGAATTGTGGAGCCCATCGCGTGTGATTTGCATGTATAACTAGGATTTGGGACTGCATGCAATCGTGGCTATGTGTGGCACGGTCCATTAATGAACTTCGGCAGATGGATCTTGTAGTATAAAGGTTCAAACCTGGAGATATCTCATTCCGTGTCTCTGGCAGAGCTTTTTTTTTTTTTGTTGTCATGACGAGTCAGCTGCTTCCAACACGAGTCAATCGAGTTGGATATTTGTATTTTGGGCTCGTAAGGTAAGCCCGTCTGTGCAAAATGGTCCTCTCTAATCCTGGATGCCATGCGCCGCCCTCGAGTTCTCTTGACAGTAGCTGATTAATCAATGCCTTTCCTTTTTTATGAACGAGTTAATTTCATTATCGATGGAAAAAAAAAAGAAAGAAAGAAAGAAGAGGACAATGGGAGTTAATCCCTGTTGAAATGAAGGATTCAAACAGACCACGGTTAATAAAAGGCAGTCTGATACCGTCTCTTTTTATTAAGGGGAACAGAAAAATATGTCAACCTCAATCATTAAGCAAATCTCAAACAGCAAACAGAAGAGGTTGTCTAACATCAACTTTACAAAAAGGGAAACCATAAAATCTATTTCTATTTTCGAACAGAAACACAGTAGATTGAGCTATGCAGTTCGGAGAAGATCAATGATTAATATACAGTCTAGCATTTCTTCCATCCATGAAAAACTGATGCCTGCACACCAAGAGATTCATGAGGATTCCAGTTTCCAAAATCTAAGTTTTCTTCTGTAAGCTCTGTTTATACCAGGCAAATTCTTGATCCCAACTGACTTGTTGATGTTACATTTCAAGTTCGTATTTCTTTGAAAAAATGGCTAATCAAAGAACAAGTGATATCTGCTTTTGTTTGCTTGCTCGCAGAGAAGACCGCCGCCCATGTTGCAAGTCAAGCACGTTCATGTCGCTATTTATTAATTATTAAAGCAGCGTTTTTCAACAGATAAACCAGGTAGAGGTTATATGCTGAATTAAAAAAAAATGAAGATGATGGTCTTAGTTATGAATATACAGTAGATGATTGATCTCGTCAAATGACGCGGTTGGAACAGCATCTCTTTTCCTCTTCAGTTTTGTTTGAAGGTGTGTTGTGGTGGGATGGAACTGGAACAGATAAATGAGCCAGCAATTTGAGGTTTTTGAAATTTATTTTTTAACGGAAACCCCTCTAATGTCACGAAGCTTTTCTCCTTATTCCTCCGATATTATGTTCCACGCAGGGGGAGGCAGTGGAGAGAAAAGGTGAGCCTTGTTTTAGCCCCCAACGTTTTACCTGATTGCCAATCTCATCCTTAAGTAATTGCTTTTATCAGCATTTCTCAGTTGGGCTCTTTCTTTCTACACCGTTTCGTAACGAAAAACGTCAAATTATCTTGAAAAGGGGTATTTAATGAAGAACATTAATGGACATGGAAATGTTTGATGTTTTAGGGACACTACAGAGAAAACATTTAGCTTGGAGATCCAATTCAGAGCTGGTGAATGGATTGGGAACTAATCGAGGATTCTCTAAAGATAAGGAAAGCTTGAAAGATATTTTTAAGACTTTGTAAAATGTCCCAGAGCAACTAAGAAAATCAAAGTTGGAAGGAGACTGAAGGGTTATTTTTTTTTTTTAGCATGTTTTTTTTTTTTAAATATTGGTGATTACTTAAAACTTTTTTTTATTAAAATAACACAGTTAATACATGTATGTCATGGTTGTAAAACATAATTTTTATAATTTATAGCTATTTAATTTCGGTGTTTTTTTAAAGTTTTTTTTATTTGTTTAATATTTTTTATTAGATGTCATTATTTTATCATTTTATAAATATTTTAATTAGTTGTGTAGTCTTTTTCTAAATAAAATATCATGCAAAGAACTTATTTATGATTGTAATAACAATAACTTGTTAAAGTATTTTTTTATTTAGAAAAATATTAAAATAATTTTTTTTATTTTTTAAAAATTATTTTTAATATTAGCACATCAAAACAATTTAAAAAATATATAAAAAAATTATTTTAAATAAAAAAAAATTATTTTTTTTTAAAAATCGCATCATGAAACACCCTCAAAAGATTATACAATAAAGTTTCAGGTGACGTTTTATCATAGGAAAGGGATCGCTAACACGGAAAAACAAATAATTGGTACCGTGCTTGTTGGCTATAATCAAGGCCAATTCTAATAGTTTATTCACCGTCTACTCTCCTCTGATCGTGCCCTCCTAACCACCGCCTACAGAAAATAAACGTGCCAGGTCTTTTTAGCACGTGGAATCTGAGTCCACCTCTCTCTTGTGCATGATCACGCAAACACAGTAACAGTTGCCCTACTTTGATAGTAACAATCACACACAGTAGTAAACTATTGACGAGCTTTTTGTTAC